AATGAAATGTGTCTACACTTTTTTTTTCCTTTTTCTTTTTCTTTTTTTTTTTTTTTTTTGAAAATGAGAAAAAAATTCGACGAACATTTACAAGAACGATAATTCCGAAAAAAATAAAAAAATTACCGATACGATGGTAATTAACTATTAAGGTTACGGACGATTACACTCCCGACGATTTGACTCCATTCGATAATTACGCGAATTTCGATTATCAACAGGAACACGTGGTCAAAGTTGTAAAACGTCAAACATGATGGAAAACCAACTACAAATAATATATTATTATTACTATAACCATTTTCTTATCAATATATTGTTTAAGTAAACATTTGAAGCAAATAATTGGATGTAATATGCAAAATTATAAAACCGATCAATGAAAATAATCGTTTAGATTAGATACGTTTTAAGAATTCTGTTAAATTATACAGCGTTAATTATTTCTTATTTAATTTGATGAATCATATTTTTTTTTTTTTTTTTTTCTATTTCTCAAATACTCACAGCACATCTCTAGGTAAGGTTTTGTAGAGCAAATAAATGAAGCGTCGTCGTTTTCCTGTGAGCAAGTAGGCGCCGATACACACGGTCAGAACCGCGATCACTAATTCGTTCACTCCCATGATTTTCTAACGATTTCTAATAATAATAAAAAACGCGTCTCGATCTACAGATACGTGATCGATGATCGTCGTCTTTGTGATATTTTAAATAAAGAGAGAAAGAGAGAGAGAGAGAGAGAGAGAAAGAAAGAAAAAACGAAGCAGAAACACACGTTCAAAATTAATTCGATTATCCGAGGACGTGCGAAAACTCGACGCGAGTAAACCGTTCGATACGGCGATCGAACGACGACTAAACTGGATAGGTAGTGTATGTGGTACGATTACATCTGCCGACGTGTGTACACTCGTATTCGTTTCGTCTCGCGCGAAACGTGCTAGTGTTCGTCATTGATAGCCAGCGACGTAAAATGTGGGGGTTCCAATTGGGAGGGGGGAGCTCCCGCGGCTGCGTTTCATGCAGAACGCGCGCTTCTGTTTCCCCTTCTTTCCATTATTTTACGATTGTTCTCCCATTATTTCCCAAATAAAATAATTTGACGTTTGAATGAAAGGTAACAAGATTGAATCCGATCGATGTTTTAAGTCGACTTATCGTTACGATAAATTATGTAACGAGATAAGGAATAAATTTGCGCGTTATAAAAATACGAAAATTTTTTTTTGAATTATCATCCTTCATAATAATTGCGAATGTTGATTCGAAAGGCAATTTGCGATAATGGAATCGAAAGTAAAAATAACAATATATGTATTTATATAAACTTATGATAGTAATAATACACGTGAGTAATCCATGAAAGACAGGTACAAATATAAACGTACGCTCGCAATAGTGGTATATCAGTCTGGTGGGAGCCTTGGTTACGAATATTTCACGGCGATGGATACTGAAAAATAAAACGCCCATAATGCGTACACGGTCGATTGTCGGCGAGGTGTCAAAAAGCGAAATCGTACACAATCGAACGAACGATGAATATAATGTCAGAAATGCAAGAGAGGCGTTTGATAAATTGTTATGTTGAGTTATGCGAGAAAAATTTTGCAACGATATGAGAAGATTACCTGCTTGGTTGTTAAACAAGGTAAAAAAAAAAAGAAGCTAGAAGGATGAAGGCGTGTAAACAGATTATACAGGGGTGAAAAATAGTGATGAATACCTGGAATCGAACGATCGAGGCTCGCTACTTCGCTATCTGAGAACCAGGTAAAGCACCATGATGTCCAGAACTGAAAATGATACGCGTCGATCTAACTGAATGAGTTGTACTTAAAACCATTTTCTTTTTTTTTTTTTTATGCAAAAATTATGCGATCTGCAATGAGAAATATGCGGTGCACGATGTTCAAGATAGATGAACCTAGACGTTCGATAATAATAAACTGGAAATGCTCAATCGAAATTGAAAGTATTATATATGTATTCAATAATTTTTTAGAAAAGATTATTCTATATTTTTAATTTTATTTTGAAAGCAATAACTTGTTCTCGAAATTCAAATATTATTTTAAAAGATAAGACGGATTAAGATTGAGCAGTCCTGTTTAAATGTCTTATGTAACACAATAAAAAAAAATAACATGCGCTTATCATGCACTTTGAATGATAACATGCATCATACCAATGATGCAGACGACGACCGTCACCGTAATAGTGACAAGAATGATTCTCGTTTTAAAATTCTGCAGCCACGCCTTTTGCTGGGCTTTCCTCGCCGCTGCCCTAAACTCGTTTCCAGCCATGGTTAAACGATCGCTAACTTCTTGTAAATCTTCCAACTTCTCTCCACGTTCTATTACCTTTTGCACATTTTCCCGCATCACTTCTGTAACTTCCTGTATTTGTAATCTTACGCTAGAAAAAAAATAAATAAATAAATAAATGAACGTCACTGCGATACTGATCTCAAATATTTCGTAAGTAACTATCGTTCCTTAACTTTTAATCGATTATCCGGTACAGAAGATTATGTTGAAGCACAGCACAAAAGCAAATCGAATTCTATTTACGAAAATGGAAGATACTCTTACCTATCCATTTTGCCATCCGCTTTAGTTTCCGCCATGGACGTACTCGGTCGACTAAAATGCAAAAATGTATCCATTAAAATATAATAGAATCACTTCTACGATAAACGATAGAAATATTCGATTCGATCCACTCAACTCACTTGAACAACATATTTTCATCCGGATCGCTGTCATGTTCCAATAGTAATTCCTGAAACGATTCAGATTTCAATTTCCCGCCACGTCATCTCTCCGTGGCGCTGTCGAAGCTACAGCGACCAACTTTTCGCACATTACTCACCTTTTCGTCTTTTGCTGCAGTTTTTATATCCTCCGCGGACAAATCCCACTTGTTACTCGTCGACATGTTGAAGATCACCAAACCAGACGATCACGCGTTGTTAAATCGGCCGTTAAATACCTCGCGCCATAAGTAATGCTTACGTCCGTGCCAAAAACACGCTACAAGAACACTCGACACGTAGCCATATTGCTAGAGACACGGATTGCATCGAGAGCTCGAGGTCTGTCTACGAGAGTGTCTCTCTTCACGATAGATGGCGTTGTCGACGTATCCGGTATGATGTGCACGCGGCTACAATTTGATTTCCCGCTATGCGCGTTCTCTTTCCTCGAGATAAACTTGGTCCTTTTAGAAGAAAGAATTTTTTTCAAAGTTTTCTTTTCAAATAATTTTTATCTTTCACAAACGATAAAGATAATTAAATAAACGAAAGAATAAGTTTGGGAAACAAACTGGTTATGTATATATTGCTTTATATTTCGACATAAACATCTAAGACATAAGTTCTACGACAAGTATAGAAGTACATCACGATAGATAACAAAATATGTTGATTGTCGTGTGAACGTGCAGGGACTCATCGCGGAATGTATCTTGAAAACGTTGGGACGATATATAATAAATCTCTATAAACGGTAGTAATCTTCGTTCGCATTATGCAAACATCGAGAATCTAATCTCTCCAAAAAAAAAAAAAAAGAAAGAAGAAAGAAGAAAAAAAAAATAGGAGAAAAGAGAGCGAAATACGTTCGTTCCCTGCACGATTTTCTCGCATACGTGGAATCGTTCATTCAAAGTAGAAAAAACATCGATCGTGTATGGATGACAGATCGTAATAAAAAGTATTGGACGAGATTACGTATATATAAAAATAGACCAGCCTTTCATTCATAGATATTCATATAACTATTAGGTATTCACGATTAACGATATCCGTACAATAAATCGTAATCGAGTTCTGTCAACGCATACCTATGATTCAGAAAATATTTAATCGTTTACAAATTCTTATTTACGAATCGATACTCTATGAGGAGGAAGGGATAGAGCGTGACAATATTGGCGCGCAAATATCTACGATTAAATATGAGTAATCGATTGTTTCTACCATATACAAGCCGCTGATGTGAAGCGCTTATCTAACTTACAAATATTTGTAATATATTGCGAAAATTGTTGCAATTTTCGATCGTTATTGATAATCAGCTGGCCTTTTTCCAAAATAATAAACATTAACAACAATGATACAGTAAGTTTACATGCACATATACCGACGGAAGGAACCTTCTCCATCCGCCTTGTACGTTTTTAGGCCGTCCCTACTCGATTGAAATTTTTCTTTTTTTTTTTCTTTTTTTTTTTCTTTTTCTTTTTCTTTTTCGTTTCGACGATCCTATCGATACTTTTCTAAACACGTGACACCAGTTTTCGCGGCCAAACCATCTTTGTTTCGTGGGAGGGACAACGGAACAACGAAAATCGAATGCGCGTCTTCCTGTGATTGTGGAAGACAAATTAAAAATACATCGAAGATGGATCACCCGCTAAATTTATTTTTGATCAAAGCTGCCCTCTATTTTTAATCGCGGAAAATTACAAGAATTCTCGAGTCAAGACTTCCAGAATGATGCAGGAATTCTTAGAAAACAACTTATTCCATATATATATAATCGTTTAAGTATTAATATTACCTTATATCTATACATAATGTCGTATAATAATAAGAAACGTTTTGGACGTCCAGCGTCGCTCGAATTGGACGAAACCAGCGTCCAGCGAGATGAACTAGATGCTTCGATTCTCTTCTCAAAGCGAAATTTCAATATTTCAATCAGAAACAAAGTTTGCATCTATGGAAGAGCATCTTTGTTTTTTTTTTTTTTCCACTTACTCAGCTAATTTAATTAATCATGGATCACGGGGATTACGGGGATTAAAGTCTCGATCTCTTGGCAAACGTAATCGCTTTGAAAATCGAGCCAGACGAGGAACGATTCCGTGGATAAGTTTCGCTTTGACGCGAATCAATTCGTTTCGAAAGCAGACCACGATCCGCTCGTTTTTATCTCCGTTAATAGAAATCGTTTAATCGAGACTGCGTAACCGCAATTATCGGAAAATTCATTCTTTCTCTCTTCATTTCCGCGCAGGAATTCTCCACAAATCACAATGTAAAACGGAAAACGCGATCGTATTGATATTTTACGAATCATCTCGAATACATCACATCCGTGCAAATTTTATCATATAAAACGCGAAATTAATACGCGAAATTTTTCTTTGAAATTTGAATTTCGAGAAAATAAGAAATGTATATATCTGCGTGTGTTTTCTTTAATTAGAAACGATAGGAAAGATTGCGATCGATAAGTTATTCCGAAAGGCATAGAAGACATAGAAAGTGTGAGTGATAAACCTTGAAGTTCTTTTAACACCTTCAAGCCCATAAAATACCGTGCTTCGGTACTTTTCCCACCCCAACTTGTGGGGCAAGCGTATCGATCGTTTTCGCGAGGAATCACCCAGTATATAAAGCCAGCGTCACAACAGAAGAACCGGTTGCAACACGAGATACGAGGACACGTGTTACTCATTAAGTTCTAATAAATAATCGAATCGCGCACGGGACGCGCCAAATTTATTTCTGCTTCCACGATTAATTTCTCATCCCATTCGTCTTCGATTCTAATTTGATAAAAATTTGCGAAACTAACGAATTCTTTTTAATCGATCGATTTATTAGATTCTTAAGACGATTATTATGCCTCCTTACTTTTCGTTCGTTTATCTGACGTTTAACATTCTTTGAACTCCAATTGCAGAGTTCAACGTGATCAAGAGATAAATAATTATTACTATGAAGAAATATCGATCCGTTGGAAATTCGGCTGGAATTCGTTCGCGCCAATTTTCTTCAATTTTAGAAACGGTTTATCCACTCGGTTGGCACCATTCCGGAGCCAAGCAAATATTATTCGATCAGAGAGAGGGATTGGTGAAAGTTTTCTTGTTTGCGCGTGGATCTGGACGTGGCACGCATAGGCTCCTGAATTCGTTATGAGAGTAAAAACGCGGCTGAAAATCGATATCCGCGGAAAAACCCGATTTCCTGTGTACACTGTGTCCAATTCAAACTCCGCCATTTCCCTACATCCATTAGCTCGAACGATTTTAATAAAATCCTCTTAAACCTCCGAAACCCCGATCTCGATGATGCAACTTTTCCATTAATGTAATGTCGATGCTTCGATACTTCGCCACCGCACAGTTTTTTCAACGACGAAATTACCGATTTTTCATCGACTAAAAACGTTCCGCCACCAAAGTTTTTTTCCCGACAATCTTCCATCTTTGCCCTCTCCCTTCCCATTATTCGCGCGATCCATTAGGAAACGAATCGAAATATCGATCCATTTAATCGCTATCATCCCCCTTACAACACGTGCAGATTCTCGCAGCTTTTGCTCTTGCTGTCGTTCAAGCACATCTTGTTCAATATCTCCCTAGCGAGATTCAGGCTGAGCGCCGTCTTACTACCGTGCAGCTTCGACAGTATCCTCCTCTTGCTGCCCTGCCGTTTCAGCTTCTTGTCACGATTCTCCCGGAGCCGGATCTGCTTGAGCACGCCTACCAGAAGCTCGTCCACATTGTGCTGGATACCGCTGGACGTCTCGATGAATTTGCACTCCCTCGACGCCGCCAACTGCTTACCCTCTTTGAAACAAAATCAACGGTGATTCTCCCAACTGGTTTACCAGTTTTATTTATATCGAGAACTTTTGTTTCCAATTTTCCAAAACAATTCTCATACATCTCGCCATCTTTCCTATTGAATATTGTATTGTTCGAAAAGTTTGGGAAAAAGAAAAAGAATTTTTGTTTGACTTTCAAAAGGGAGAAAAAGAATTGGAAGAATTGATATTTTTGAGAAATCCAGAGAACGCATTTGAATTTAACGCATTCTCGAGCGGAGAATTAATTTGAATTAAAATAATTTATCCGATTCGGAAAATTAAAATGACAGAAATTGAAGAAGAAATGAAATAATTTCTCGAGATGACGAATTGACTCGAACAGATATTTTTTTTTTTTTTTAATTCCTCTGGAAATTTAAGGGATATCTACGTTTCCATCAGTTTGTTTGACAATTGTATACTCTCTATAAACTCTTTTCACGCGAGAGAAATATATTCAAATTGAAATTCACGCGTGATTCTGAGTATTGATACATATTTTGGCTAAAATACGTTCAACCCTTACCGTTGGCCGTGATCGTTCGACTTCTCGCAAGGTCTGATTTGTTGCCGACCACGATCACGGATCGTTCTTGCGTGTAATGCTCCCTCCACAGATAGTTTAAAATCTCCTCGGCGACCTGGAAACTCGTACGAGACACGGTAGAATACACAACGATGCAGGCGTGCGGCTCGTAGGTGGACAAAGAATTCTCGACCTACGCAAAAAATTCGTAAAAAAAAAAAACGATCGTAGGACAATTCTCTAAAACCTCTCTCGTCTCCTCTTGCCACTATGAATCCCCGTTCAAAGATCTTTTTTTTTTTTTTACTCGTCCAAAAAAACGTGGAGGACCATGTTTACATAATAAATTAATTAAACATATTCTCGTCCCACGAGAAAAGAAATTCATCCGTGAACGTCGACTACCTATTTTTCGCTAATTAACCGTCAAATTAATTGAAATATCATTTATTTAGAAAGTTCATTTTCCCTTCTTTGGTACAAGTTTTTTTCATTTTCGAGTCTCGTTATCATATTTGTTTCTATCTCCCCTATTTTGTAACTTTTTACCTTTCAACCCTCCCCTCCCCCACCCGTGGCGCAAAATTGCGTTTATAGAAATTTTAGTGAAATCTGGTGGCGTGGTACGAGCACACGTGGGCGTATAAGCTCGTTCGAAACGGAGAGAATGGTACTTACGCTCATCTCCACGTGCGGATGATCGATAAACACCATTTCTGACTCCTCGCCGTCCAACAAAATTGACACCGTCTTCTCGCCGAACTCGTCATCTGTTGATCAATGTAATTCGATAAACAATAAAATGTGCAATAACAAGGGACGATCGTGCAACAACAAGGGTGCTGAAACGAGGATAGGGGAAAGGGGGGGATATATATATATATATAAATTCCTCTCGAGATTTAATTAAAACTTGCTTTAATACGTTTCGAGATTCGAGGTTCGAGGAATTAAAGGGAAGGCGGGGAGAAACTCATCGATGATAAAGCAGAACCATTGTGCGAAGACGAACTCGCGACGAGTTCTGCCCTGTCTGTTGTCGAGCGCAGGAT